AGTTGTGGGCCACAGGAGATGTGTTGAGGGGGTATCCACTCGCCGAAAGTGGTCCTCCATCCTTTTTCTTGATACACCCCGCTGTGATCCTAATGCAACACCTCTGTGGAGATAAACGTGACCAAGTAACCCATCAATCACCTCTTTTCATTTTCGCCTCATTCGGGGGGGGGGAACACAATGCTACGAATGTATGTTAGGGTCACGATTACCAACCCATATTTTACCCGGACAAGAGTCTGCCATTACTATACTTAGGCAGGGTTTCTTAAACTTTTTAACGCGACACCCAGGACCCTGTAATATTTACGAAAATTTTGTGCGATCCCATAAGCATAGCGCAAATCCGACACACGCGTGAGTGAAACTGTCAATTGTTTCACTTGTACTGTAATATACTATTGCAGTTTTAGGTCATTAACTTTGATTTCTAATTTTAAGACAGAGCGTAAAAATTTTAAATAAGTAACAGACGAAATGACAGCGTCAAGTGCAAAGCAAGTAAAATGAATGTTTCTATTATAAAAACAATTCGTCGAAACGTTTTCCTTTTTTCTTTGTCTGTATTGTCTTATCTATTTTCAGATACATTGTGTAAAAATATTTGGTAACTGTAAAATTATTATAATAAGTTAAAGAAATATCAAAACTGCTAAATCTTTTGGCGACCGCCCTGCTGCAAGTCCCGCGAATCCCCTGAGAGTCGCGACCCACAGTTTAAGAAACGCTGCATAAGGGATGAAGATGCACTTCCTGTGAATGAATCTTTCTCGGGGCAAACGGTAAACTGGTTACTTTAAGCCCAGATGAAATTATTACTTTTAACTACACATTAATTTCAATCGATACATTATATCAACATAAACAAATTTTATGATATACTAGCGCGCTGCGGCCAAAGCAAAATTTACAAGTTCTAATTACCCCTGAAAAGAAAACGTGTAAAAACATTTCAATACAAACGAAATCAGTTCATTCTTTCCAAGCAACATCTGATTCGTAGATAAATTTTTCGTTGCCAAACCAGGCAACAAAAACTTTTGACACTTCAGGTTAACACTTATGATTACACGTCGTGATTTACATTTAATGTAATATAACAATTTTTTCTCAATATCAATAAAAAGATTAACGTTGCAATAACATATCGTGTCAATTATCCTAACCTGAAACAAAAAAAAAAAAAAAAAAAAGGCAACAGCAAATAGACAGTCTGTAGGCCTGGATTTTTTTTTTTTTTTTTTTTTCCCATACACTCTTGCCATTGCTCGCTTTGAAATCGCTGAGTCTGTTAATTAAAGTTTAGCAAATTATGAAATAGGTGATAAAACAAATTAGAAATTCAAGCTTCCGAGTGCCCATATTCGGGTAGAGGACTACGTCATTCAGAATTGGATCGCTCTAGGAGCCGTTGTTTCTTTACAATTTTATGCAACATGCATACATTCATGCAAATTCATCATTGTTTAATTTCTTGAAATATAATACAGAGAGATAATATTTAGGGGAAACAATCTGAAAAGTGAAACAGACATATATAGTGATTCGACGCAAAATGCCGTTTCGAAACTAATATCCCTTCTGGCCTAACGTCCCTTTGGGCTAATAACTATAAACATGTAAAAAAAATACTTTCACAGCATTTAGGAAGCGTTTTTTTTTTTTTTTTTTTTTTTTTTTTTTTTTTTTTTTTTTACGAACTGTTGTTCAAAATGTTTTTAATGCAGAAGTGCATTTATGAACTATTTATAAAATTTCTGAAAATTGTTTAACCGACGCTGTTCCTTTAATTTTAATATTTGGAGAACATCCCTCAGTGAAAAAGGATTTAATGACATAAAATTTTAAATTAGGCAAAAAAGCAAATTTAGTTTGCAGGCGTAGGTGTTTTCTGATACTGGGTTTTTTTTTTTTTTTTTTTTTTTTTATTTTTTATTTTTCCCCTCGCTGATCGCTCTGAGATTATTAGAGTAATTAAAAATCTGTGTCACATTTTTTTTTTTTTAAGACCAAAGAGCGTTAACCCAGAAGGGCTATTAATTTCGTTTTGACATTTTACGTTGATTTACTATAAACGGCGAATCACTTTTTAAATTGTTGCCACCAAATATTAGAGCCCTTCATTATGCTTGAAGAAATTAAATAATGAAGAATCTGCATAAATGCATGTATGTTTCTCTCATTGTGATAAAACGACGGTACCTAGAGCCATCTAATTCTGAACAACCTAATCTTCCTCCCGAACATGGGCACCTGGAAACCCGAATTTTAAATTTCGAATTGTTTTATTGTCTGTTTTATATTTTGTAAAGCATTTATGATTTTTTTTATTCATTAAGAAACATAACAAGCGAGCATCATTGTACGGAGTGAAAAAAAATTTTCTCCTGCGCGCGAGACTATGCATCGGAAATTCTACAGATATGCTGTTTTAAATATCTTGCAAAACTGCCGTTGAACTGAATTTTATGGTTTAAGTGCGAAGAACATGATATTTAATAAATAAAGGTAACACAGAAAACGTTAAAAAAGCCCGTTTGGGGGTTAATATAAAATCTGAAAACTTTCAGATTTTCGGGGAAGGGGTTTCTAGTTTTAAGCGATTGACTAAACCTGAAATAATACCGTTTGACGACTTACTCCCTTAGTTTGCAATATTTTTCTGCCAACTAGCAATTTTTAAAAGAATTTTTTAATTTACTTGGTGACTTTGCTTCAGTTAAAAAAATTATTCGGTAATATTTGATCATATTAACCGAATTGTTAATTACAATAAGCGGTCAATATTTCCTATTTTATTTAGTACAGAACCGGACGGGACTTCGGCAATTCGCTAATAATATCCGAATGAAAATATTAACCGGAATCTCATTAAGCGGCATTATTGCATATAAACATGTATGATCTTTTATAATCGTAATAAATATAATTAATATAATCATTATAAATATAATCATAAATATAATTATTTTATAATCATATTTTAATGGCAAAATATAATTTTAATCGTCTTGTCTTTATTATTGAAATACGTTGATTATTAATTATTAGACTATGCCGCGAAAGTTAATTATTAAATTTCGAAATACATTTAGAAATTTTGGTTTCGATTGAAAGCAATCTCTAATCAAACATGTGTAGTAAAACTGTTTCAAATTCTATTTGCAACTGAAAAATAAAGTCACCCAGGTTTATAATCTTAGTGAAGGGAGTTAGTCACAGAGTTATAATTTGCGTGAACATTTTTCCTGATTTCCATATATACGGTGAAGAGGGCTAGTTTCTTTGAAAATTCACCCACAAAGGCATTTCTTTAGGCACATGATATATGTGATTCGAAGGATTTAAGGAATAATAGTATTAAGGAATTTGAAGGATAATAAGTGATTTGAAATTAAACCAATTAATTAAATTAATTGAAGTGTCCTAAATTAAAAAATAATATTTAATTAAAATATATTTAATTAATCTATGCAATTAAATAAATACTTCTTATGAAATATCAGAACAAAAACATTGCCAGAAATAAGGATGCCAGAAATTTAAAAAAAAAAAAAAAAAAAGAGCAGAAGTAAAATAGAAAAGGAAAAGATCATTTCAGTTGATTATACTGAAATAAGCTTCTGAAAAATTTTGAGTTTTAAAGTAATCTATAAAATATTGTATTAGGCATAGTAAATTTTAACACTTTTCCCACAAAAAAGAATTGTAATTTTTTTCTTAGTTTATCACAAAAAGCTAATTTCAATAAACATTAGGAAACATAATAAGACAAAAAAAAAAAAATTAAGTGCCTGTGAGTAATAATTTCTGAGAAAAGGTACATCAAGAATTTTAAAAAAAAATTAAAAAGAAAATCTGAAATGTTTCAGATTTTCAATTACGTCCAAATATCTTAAGAATTTCCGATACAGAGACTCATGCACTGGAGATAAAAATGTTTTTTCTGTACAACGTTGCCATGGCTCGCTTTGAAATCCTTGAACTTGTTAATCAAAAATTCGTTAACATTTTACAAAATGGGAAATCGATTATAAAACAAATTCCAAACTTCAAATTTGGTCTTTCACATGCCCATATTCGTAGGAGGATTACGTCATTGAAAATTCGACGGCTCTAGGTACCGTTGTTTTATCACAATGCGAGAAATATACATACATTTATGCAGATTTTTTATTATTTAATTTCTTCAAATATAACACAGGGCGATAATACTTTGTGGCAACAGTTTGAAAAGGGATTCGCCGTTTGTAGTGAATCGATGCAAATTCGCAAAACGAAAACAATAGTCCTTCAGGGACAAAGGGACTAAAAAAAAATCACATTTGGATAAAAGTGCATTTTTACCTAAAAATACTCATTTATCAAAACATTCGATGATAAATTAAAAGTAGATATTTTTGCAGTTGTAATTTTCATAGAGGACGGTATTTTTAGAAAGATAAAAGTGTAGTGAATTTGAAAATGCAATAATCACAGATCAACATTCTTTGAAAATTTTTTAACAACATTCTTTGAACACCCCTTTAAGAAGATAGAATTTTCGTAATCTTTTATTTAAAACGAAATTTTAACTGACTGTTGAGCGAGAAAACATAAAGTAACGCTCAAATAAGATCGGCGCAATGAACTAAAATCTTTGACTCTCCCTTCGCAAGCGGAGCGTCACAGGAGGTCCTTTCGCGAAGGACAAAAGGTCTCAGCCACAGGCGCGTACGACATATCTCGTGCAGCGGCGGCTGTTTATTAGCGGTGGGAACGAGACGAGTGGTGGCGCCGTTGCATGGGTAGTTCTAGTCAAACCAGTTTTTTCCGGAGCTCTTTTGTTGCTGTCTTGAAAAGAGCGAGTATCGCCGTTTTCGTGCACCGCTCTTCGAAATAACTGGTGAAGTTTTATAGCAGAACTTCTTTGTTTCGTGAACTTATATTTCTTAAAATTATATTTCTTTACGTGAACTTATATTTCTTAAAATTGATTTTAATTAAGCTCAGAGTTAAAAATGACCGAAGATGAAAATATTGCTGTTGGCGACAGAATTATAGTGGAAGAAAAGTTTTCGGTGCACGATTTCAATGATTCGGACACTGATGTTTCAATGGACATTTCCAGTGAAAGTGAGGAGGAAGAAAATGAATTTCTCCCGGTATTCGAACGTGAGCGAGAATCACAGGACTGGATTGAAGTCATTGCCGATGATTCATCTCCACCCCTTCTACGATTTCCTTTCACTGGACAACCTGGACTGAATATTAAAGTGGAAAATAAGGATGATCCTTTGGAATATTTCAGTTTATTTTTCACCGACACTGTTATCCAGCATATTGTTACAGAGACTAATAGATTTGCCCACAAATTTTTGGGAAATACGAATGTTTCAGAATTTTCTCGTGCCAATAAATATGTCGATACTAATAGTGAGGAAATAAAGACATTTTTTGCACTGCTTATTCTTCAGGGCATTATAAAAAAACCCAAGGAAGCATGGTATTGGTCTCGAAACCAATTTCTGGAGACTCCAGTATTTGGCAGACTAATGAGTGAGAAAAGATACAGCCTTCTGATGAAATTCCTTCATTTTACGAATGATGAAGAGTTTGACCAAAATGTTCATCCGCATCCAAAACTCTGGAAAATCTGGAGCATTTTTGAGATGGTATCGTCAAAATTTTCTTCTGTTTATACCCCAGAAAGAGACGTCTGCATAGGCGAATCGATGACGCTGTATAAAGGAAAACTCAGTTGGAGACATTCTGAATCCACAAAAGATTATAGAATGGGTATAAAACTGTTCCTGCTTTGTGAATCCTTCAGTGGATATATTTGGAAAGTTTTGTTATATACTGGCAAAGAGACAAAATTTTGTTCAATTTATGACGATTATGCCTTGGGTACGAGATGCGCCATGAGTCTGATGCATGATCTTCTGCGAAAAGGATACTGTGTGGCTATCGATAAATTTTATTTATCGCATGAACTTGCCGAACTTTTAATTGAACTCAAAACGGATGTTTTTGGGACGATAAACCCAAATACAAAAAATTTACCACTTGGTTTAAGAGACAGAAAATTGAAACCGGGGGAAGTTATCGCTTATCAAAAAGGGAAGATGCTAGTTTTTAAATTTGAGGATAAAAAATCGGTATGCTTCTTGAGCACAATACACAGCATCGATGAAAAAGTAATTCGAAATAGAAACAAAAGTGTGACTAAAAAACCGACTGTTGCATTCGATTACGAAAAAGTCATGAATGATACGTCTAGGCAAGACCAGTGTTATATTTATCATCCAGGTGCAACAAAACGGCAGAAATGTTACCACAAGATATTCTTCCGACAGCTTCTCGACCAAGCGGTCTGGAATGCTTTCGTTTTATTTCGAAAAAATGGTGGAAGTCTAGAACATTTAGATTTCCGTGTGAGACTGGTGGAGAGACTTTGTGAAACGTGGCATTCGAACCCAAAAGCAGAAGTTTCGCGCACACCTGTGGTAGGTCGCAGACCTGAGCAAGGTAACATTTTGAGATACATGGAAAGACATTTTGCGTCGTACGTCCCCGCTACAGGTAAAAAATTAGAACCAACCAGACGATGCGCAATTTGTTGCGCCAGAGTGGGCGATAACGGTAAAAAAATTCGACGGGAAACGAGGTATTGGTGTCGCATTTGCAAGGTAGGACTTTGCGTAGTTCCTTGTTTCGAACGATATCATACCAAACCTGCCGATTAGGAACTTGCATACCTTTAATAATTTGACAATGATATACACTATTGATCAGTTACTATTCTGTTTCTACGAAATTCGATAGCAGTAATTGGATAATTAATTTTGGATGTTTAAAAGTTTATATGTGATATAAATAAATCATCAATGATTACAAGTGATTTAAAGTTGTGCTGTTTGTTTGTATAAAATTGTGTTGCTATTTCGTCTAATTTTCTGAAATACTTCTGTGGTGAAGTAGAATTCCATTAAATAAGTAAGTAATCTTTTTTTTTTTTTTTTTTGTTTGTTTGTTTGTTTGTTTGTTTTCCTTTTATTAAGATTTTTTTCAGTTTGTTGCCAAAAATAGAAAAAAAATTTGAAGTAAGACTAATTAGAATGATCCATGACAAAATCTAATTATTTCAATCTTTGAGTCATTATCCCGAGTTTTCTTTATTTTGATACATAAGTTAATTCATTTCTTCTCGTATAAATATTTTAACTAATTTATTTGGAGTATAATTGTTTCAAAATCAACTCTTTGAAACGTGTTACAATTTCTAACCATAATGTATAATAGGAATTATAGAAATTATTTGATTATTTTAAAGTTTCTTTTTGAGTGAATTAAAGCAAACTATGTTACATAAAATGTTTGTTCATTCACATATCGTAGCTTTTGACACTTAAATGAGAATTGAATAATACGTGAATATTTTGTTTCTGGATAAGTATTATTCATGTCTAGGGGAAGAAAATGCATACTTGTTAGATTAATCCGCAGAATCTATGCCTTACTGACCCAAATTTTTATCTTTTAATAAGATAAGATTTAAAAGTTCATTTAAGTGAATTATGTTGCATTCTTATGCCCATTTAAACGATTAATTTTATTATAATTTGTAATTTGTCAACTTATCCGAAGCAGTAACTTTATCGCGATCAAATTGCCGAGGTATTTTTCACGAATTTTAGATTTTCTAAGAGTTCGCGAACATAATAAGCCTTACGGCATTTTGCATCTCTTCACTTTTCAAACTGTTGCCACCAAATATTATCGCCATGTATTATATTTAAAGAAACTAAATAATGAAGAATCTGAATAAATGTTTCTCGCATCGTGGGAAAAAAAAAAAAGGTACCTAGAGCCATCCAATTTTGAATAACGTAGTCCTTCAACCGAATATGGGCACTCAGAAGCTCGAATTTGTTTTATTATTTATTTCATATTTTGTAAAATTTTAACGAATTTTTTATTAACAAATTCAACGATTTCAAAGCAAGCAATGGCAACACTATATAGGAGGAGGGAAAACTTTATCTCCAGTGCGCGAGACACTGTGTATCGGAAATTCTAAAGTTATGCTCTTTTTGAATTATTTTGTGATATTGCTGGTGAATTGAAATTTACGGTTTAAGTACGAAGAACATGATATTTAATAAATAAAGATAATACAGAAAACGTTAAAAAAAACCCTTTGGGCGTAATATAAAATTATGAAACATATCAATCATAATTTTTTATTAAATTTAGCTGATAAATCATTTTATAAGGCTTCAGAGGTATGTGGCCTTAGTGCTGATTTATTTTTTAAGGTCTTTTAAAATAGTACATATAAAATAAATGATAATTATTGTTGTATTTGTAGTAATTATATACACGATATATTTTATTTTTTGTTTCATTGAACAAATTTTGAATTAGTTTTATTATCTGTTTCAAATTTTGTAAAACTTTAACGAACGTTTGATTTGAAAACTCAACGATTTCAAAACTAGCAGTGGCAATTATTGTATGGAAAAAAGCATTTTTATCTCCAGCGTGCGAGACTGTGTATCGGAAATTCTACAGATGTGTTTTTAAAACTCTTTTGCGATATTGCTGTTGAATTGAATTTAATGGTTTAATTTCGAAGAACATGATACTTAATAAATAAAGGTAACACACAAACCGTTAAAAAAACGCCCTTTTGGGTATAATCTGAAAGCTTCTAGACTTTTTTTGGCCTAGTTTTAAACGTTTGATTAAAAATGAAACAAAGCTATTTGCCAACTTAATCATTTAGTTAGCTATATTTCTGTGTCACTTGATAATTTTTATGATCATTTTCGAATTTATTTGGCGACTTTATTTCAGTTAAAAAAATTATTCTGTAATATTTTAATCATATTAACCGAATTTTAATGAATCATACGCACGAATAATTCCGTGAATATCGGTTTTATTTTTTAATTTCTGTCATAGTTCTAGACCAGTGATTCCCAACCACTGTGCCGCGGCACTTTCGTGTACCGCCAAATTTTAGAAATGTATATAGTAAAAATTATAATGGGTTTAATCCTAGTACACGGTACACATGAGAATTGGCGAAATTCGGTTTTTAAGACATTAATATGCGCGCCAATTGTGGTATCCAAGCTGATTTTGTTGCCGAAGATTTTATTTGAATTAACTTTGAACGAAGAGGAAGAACTAATTTCGCTTTCTAATAATCGAGATTTTATTTTAAAATAGTCTGAAGAATTAATTAATTCATTTTGGATTAACATTAGATGCGATTATCCCATGATGGCCAAAAATGCTTTAAAAATATTATTACAGTTTTCTATGAAATTATAAAAACATCAAGCTCAAATTTCTCATTAAAAGTATTCTTATTGTTAACTTGTAATTAATCTCTTAATAAACGTACTGATGTTTATGTTGTGCATATTTTATTTTACATTCAAATTTATTATCATAAACTATCTTACACAGTGGTAAGTAAACAACTTTTGGTTGGTGTTGGTGTATTTAATTATGGCAAAGCACACGAGGGCTATCTGCCTAAGGGGAGGGATGCCTTTCGTGGAGGACTTTCTAATAAAAACAAGTTTTGGTACTTACGTATTAACGCAACCAGGCCAAAATTCGCATAAATTGACAAATTTGGCGACACTACTTACGGCAACCCTACGTGCTATACGTAGTTTTGTAAAAAGAGCATGTGGAGATTCACAACATTTTCCTGCATTTTCGTGCAAATTTTTGTAATTTATGAGAAAATGGCAGTGTACATGGATAAAGTCCAGAGTGTGTGCAATGCCATTTTTGTGCAATTCTGGGATGTTTTTTTAAGTAAAAATAAGTCGACGTGTACATGGTTATGGCGAATACGGTTTTGAATCAGTGCTAAAAGCAATAGCCAAAAGATTTCCGCCGAAAAAATAATTCTGCAACTTATTCAAATTCGAAACCGGAAGGGTTTAATTGCTATTTATATTTTAAACAAAATAATATAAAAAACTGGTATTAAAAATTATCTGTAATTAATAAATGTACATTTTCTATCTATTCATACTCTTTTACTCAAACTTACAAATAGCGCCAACCGGGTTGCGATAATACGTAAGTACCCAACTTTTAAACCTATCTTTTTCTCTGTGTGTGTTCTGCCAAATTTTGAAATCGCGAAAAGTGTGCCGCGACAAAAAAAAAAAAAAAAAAAAAAGGTTGAGAATCACTATTCTAGACTATTTTTATATTTAAGTAATTATGTACTATATTTAATTTAAATTCACTGAAAAGTACGTTGCAGAGTAATTTTATTCCAAAATTCAAATCAGAACTTAATCTTACCACAGGTTTTGCTAGACTTTTGGAATGCGGTAGAGTTGTTTCTCGTTCCATTAAAGCCGCTTTCCTTTCTGTATTTGTGTATACGAGCCAGTGTCCCTTAGAAGGTCTGGCTGGCTGCATGGGCGTTTTTGTGGTTTTCCCCATGTGTAACGTGTATACGAGCCAGTTTTCCTTAGAAAGTCCACCACGAAGGCATCCCTTCCCTTAGACAGATAGCTCTAGTGTGCTTTGTCGTATTCTCAATACACCACACTCTTAGAAAGTCTTCCACGAAGGCATTCCCCCTTTACGCAGATAGGTCGGGTGAATTCAAACTGTCTTCTAATCCTTCTGTTGCTGCACTGCTGTGGGGTGACCATTAGTGGATTTAAAATCTAGTATAAGAGTAAAATATTCTACTTTTGTTATAAATCATTCAAGAAACCGGTAAAGTTTTTCTTTTTCCAGCTTCTTTCTTTCCTATAGAAAACGCCACTATGACTCTTGGTTTTTCTTTACATTGCGACATTTTTCTAACCGTACAAACAAATAATATTTTAGGCACTTAAGGAAAATCCCGTCGACCATTTTTGACTATTAAAAAAAACTACGCCAAACTACGAAATTTTTCGCCAAAAATGAAAAAGTCTTCTTCAAACACGCTGGGTTTGATGTAACCTTGATTACACGTGTTATTATTCTTGAGTAAAGACTCAATTTTTTTCCCCTCTATCGCGCATTTTGGGGGAAAAAAAAAGGATTAAAATTTGGGACTTGCCTATTACAGAAGAGCATGCTATTGAATACTTCCAAAGTTATGGAATCTTATCGGCCTAAAAAAAATGGGTACTGTTCGGTTTCGAGGGCCGTAAAAAATCGCCAAACTATTGTTGATGCCAATTCTGCCAAAAATAATTGCGGCAACCCTAATAATGGCGGCAAGAAAGGAAGTATAATAGTAAATAACTATTTAAGATTGATGTTTTAATTTAGATGAAAGGTTAATTTCATATAGTAATACTTTTTTATTATTATAATTTATACGAAAAAGGCTAAACATGATTGAATGGAAGCATAAGAGTAAATTATTTCTGATCATTATTATAATTTATATAAAAATTGCTAAACATAACTGAATGGATGCCTGCATTGCTATTTCGCTACCGACTTATTGCTAAAGCATAATTTCATCTCGTTGGTTGTTCAAACGTAATTTTGCCTTTTCTTTGAAAATATTCTCGGTAAAGTGCAGAATCACTCGCTTATTTGTTTGCCGCTTTTTACAAGGGTAAAAACAATTGGATTTTTGTCAATTTTCTTTTACTTTTTAAATGAAAATAGGTCGATGTGTACATAGATAAAGTCAAGGGTGTGCGCAGTGCCATTTTGTGCAATTCTAGGATTTTTTTTTAAGTGAAAATAGGTC